TACGCGGCCATTGACTATATATAACAACCTATATATATAGTCGTTATATATTATAGTCATTGGCCGCGTATGTGCTGTAGCTGCAGGTGCGGACTTGTTCTTGCTGCCAGTGGCAAAACCTAACAATCAGACCTAGTGACAGTGTCAATGTTGATTGTTGTATGCAAGCTTTTGCGTATTACTATTGTTCATAGGGTCTATGTTCCCCAGGGTACTGCTGGAACGTACCCTGGGTATGGTCCGGTATACCGGAACGTACCCTGGTAACTATTTGATATGGTTAAGGTTCGGGTTAGGGAGTAGGCGTAGGCGACTCCCTAGACTTGTTAGTGGAGTAGGCGAGGTACGGTCCGGCATATTAGATAGTACCAGGGTACGTTCCGGCAGTACCCTGGGGGACATAGACCCTCTCAGCATTACTATTAGTATAGATAAGAATGAAATTACTTATATTACATGGTAAATACACGGGAACATTATTAGCGTGATTATACACACATTTATTTGCAAATTAATTTGACCTCGTTTTCCTGCATCCATGGTTGCTATGTGTATTTAGATTCGATGGCTTTATAAAAAGTTCCTGACTTCTAAACTTAAAATGACTTGCACAGCTATGAAAGTCACAGGCACTTAGAGCATTTCAATAAAATATAAGGCTAAATAAATACGAAATCTATTTACTACCAAAGTCTTAATGTTTTTATACTCTCTTTTGTAATGTTCTTATGATTGTTGATCGTTGATATTAAACCATAATTGAAAATCAGAAGATTGTAACGCATCATTTCTGTGTAATCGTTCCCGCTGCTTTTATTTTCCTATTCCGGATGTCCGCTCGCTCTCGCTGCATTACATTGCACAAATAGAGTGAGCACCGATACATTTAGTTCCGATACAAAACGTAAACAATAAGGCTGGACATCACATCTTTCACCTATTATTGCCGACAATTTCCTGCAAATGCCGTCCAAATGCTCATCTGCAACAAACACTGGCTGCCGCTGCACACTGACACATAAATATATAGCAGGTAGGAAAGCGTGCTGCCAAAATTCGCTCGATGCTCGCTTGATTTCACACGAATACAACACAAACATTCAACCATTCTACTCCATCTCAGGGTTCTCCAAGCTTTTAAATTATAGCATGGGGGTGCTACTCACTGCCCCTTCGGGGGCATGCCCCCCGGAAAATTTTTGAATTGTAGAAGCTCTGAGATGCAATCGGGGACACTGTGTAAATTTGAAGCACTGCATGTGGGGTGAAAATGTTTGTTTTGCATGGGCAAAGCCATCGGAAAATTCAAAATAATTAATGGAATAAAAAATACCAAAATCTAGGGGTGAACTTGCTGGTTTCCTGGTTCCAAATCGAGTTCACCTCTCATAAATAAATATAAAAAAATTCGTCACCATTGACAATGGCAGGAGTGGCCGGTAAGTGTACCAGTCTACTCTACCTCGTGTTAGACTGGGTTACCTGCCCCGTAATAATGCCGTTGGAAATTAACGATTAAGATTTCTTAATGAGCTAGAAAACACTCGGATTTGAAGTATGAAAATGAACATTATTGTGCCAGCTAGCCTACACCAGTTGGTTGGGATTGATTGCCAGTTGAGATGCAAAATATTTTAAGCAAAAGGTTATACACCATAGATTAATTTTGGTACTATAACACGCGTATATAAGATAGTCGAGTCGGTTTAGAGTTAGTGTTAGGGTTAGGGATACTAGGGTGACTGTTTGTATTAAATATTTGAACTTCATGTATATACACCAGCATGGCGGCTATGATATTTAGCGTGGCGGGTGCATTTTAGGATGGCGGGGCGCCGGGGCTCGACGATAGCCTGGCGGGCCGCCAGGCTATAAGTGCCCTTGGAGAACCCTGCATCTTTGTTTCTATTTGAAGAACAGTGTTCACTTGTTATAAAAACATACTGTCTGTTTTCGTAACCGAGCTGTGTCACGCGAAATCACACAAAGCCTGACGAAATTCTCGCATTCGCTCCCGTTGCGCAGTTTATGTAAATGGCTGTCAGAATCAGGAAACACCCAATGGCGCTCTTTGTGACCTCATTTTTGCGCCGCATTATTGCAACGCTCCACTGGCAGCTTTGACGAGGCTCGACGGGAGTTGGAAAGCAGCGTGGTAGTTTCCCAAAATGCAGTGCGCCGCCTATGGCCCTGTACTTGCAGCCATTTACATAAACTGCGCAACGGGAGCGAACGCGAGAATTTCGTGCCATGGTGTCAGCCAGTGTTTGTTGCAGATGAGCATTTGGACGGCATTTGCAGGAAATTGTCGGCAATATTACAGGTGAAAGAGAGTATAGAAACATTAAGACTGGTAGTAAATAGATTTCGTATTTATTTAGCATTATATTTTATTGAAACGCTCCAAGTGCCTGTGATGAAAGTCATGTGCTACTAGAATGCCGCCTTATATACTACCTTCTTAGAAAGGTATACTGTTAATAGTACATTGATTACACATTAGCAGAGGTGCTATCTTTTTAATGAATATTACCTTCTGCAAATGTAAAAGTTGTGTCCCTGAGGTGATCCTTTAAATAACTGTGACATAAACGATGTATAACCAGGTACGTTAGAGGGCGAATCGTGACCGCTTCGTGTCGAAACGAGATGTGACTGAGAGAAGCAAACGGTGCTCTGCTGAGCATCACCCGGCATGGAACCGTGCGCCGATGACGCTTTGCCGTTGCCGCCGGCGACGGGCCGCAGCGACGACGAGGCAGACGACTCGAATGTCTACTCGGAGGACTCGCTATCCGAGCTGACGTCGGGCGACGTGGAGTCGGACGCGACGACGGGAGACGCCGCGAGTCTCGCGTCCGATGACGACGACAGCGAGGACGACATGACCGACGTCTCGCCGCTGTCCTCCGCCTCGGCGAGCCCCGTGCCTCCCCTGCCGTGCCTCACCGCCGCGAAACCGCCCTCGACGCGCGTCCGCATAAGGTCGCCCGAGTGTGAGACGTTCGGAAGTGCCGCCGCCGAGTCGGACGAAAGGGGCGCCACCGAGAAATGTGATCCCGTCGACGACGACGATGCCTCGGTCGACTTCCGGCTGCTGTCGCAGGTCGTCTCGGAGATGGAGAGCGAGGCAGCATATGGTGGCGCCCCCATGGCGCTCGTCTCGCGGCCCATCTCGCAGGCGTCGTCGGCGCGTTCTGGCGGCGGGACGACGCGGCGGAACATGTCATTTAGCAACGAGAAGGTGCGGCAGATCGACCGCGAGAACCAGCGCCTGCTGAGCGCGCTGATGCGAGCCGGACAGAGCCGGACGAAGCGCGAGCGTCGCCTGACGCCGCCGCCCAAGCTGAGCAGCTCGGCGGTGAACCGCATGCGCGAGCAGCGCCGCATCGACATGGATAACCAGGTATATGCATGTATAAGTGCGTGCGTGCTTATGTATGTGCCTGCGTGCGTGCGTGCGTGCGTGTGTGCGCGTTTGTGCTTGCGTACGTGCGTGCCTGCGTCAGTGCATCTGTGCGTGCTTGCGTGCGTGTGTCTGTGCTGATGTGTGTGCGTGCGTGCTGGCACACATGTGAGCAGTTCAGGAAAATAAGGCTGTAAACCCAGCCCAAAAATGTTGATTACTGCAGCTTCACCCATGTAAAATCCATAAAATTTATCCAGTACTGCTTGAGGTTACCAGTCCCGGACTGAGATACGGGTTGCCATTTACAACATTAGTGTGCGTATGTATGCACGTGTGTGTGCGTGTATTTGTTGGTGCATGTGCATGTGTGTGTTGGGATAGGTGGGGAACATTGTGATCAGGATGGAGAACCAGGCATGTGTGCGTGTGTGCGCACGTCAACGTATTAGCCAGCGAGTTGATTTCTACCCCTGGAATAGTCGTACTCAATCCTTCCTTCTGTCTTGCGTACTTTGTGTAAGCATTGACTGTGTCTTCAACGGCGATGATATTAATATGTATACGTCGTAAAAGCAGAATAGTCGTGCTTCTGTCTTACATACTTTGTGTAAGCATTGACAGTGTCTTCAACGGCAATGATATTGATATCGTGCTCAATCCTCACTTCTGTCTGGCATTCCACAGGCCCTCCTCAAGCGCATACAGACGACGAAGGCATCGAAGGAAGTCGGCTGCGCGAGTCTGGACGACTTCTCGGCAAAGCCTCCTGCGTGCGCGTCGTCGCGTCTCTCGCCGTCGTGCAGTAAGTGGAAGCCGGCAGTGGCGGCGCACGCCGGCGCGTGCGGACGCTCGCAGAGCAGCGCCACCTCTCTGCACCACTACCCCGGCGTCGCCTCGGCGGGTCCCAGCACGAGCGGGGGACCGAGCGCCGCACAGCCCGACTGGCACTAGCGAAGCGGGACGTTCGCGCGCGGTCGCAACGTGGGTTTCCCTGGCGTGGCGTGCGTCATCTGGTGAGGTCGTTCAACGTCGCTGCATGAGTTACTTCGATATCACGTGCATGACGTGAGGATGAGCGCCATCTGGTGAGGTCGTTCAACGTCGCTGCATGAGTTACACTGACGTGGCATGTGTGAGAGAGATCTGAGTGCCATCTGGTGAGGTTTCACATCATCGCTGCGTGGGTACCCCAGAGTGGAGTGCGTAATGGCAGAGCCCGCCATCGGTGACAGTGGGCAGAGCGCCATCTCGTGAAGTCACTCGACATCACAACGTGCGTTATCTCAGAATGACGTGTATGAGGCAGGGAGCTGCGTGTCATCTGGTGAGGTTTCACAACAGCTCTGCGTTGATACCCCATAGTGGCGTACATGAGATGGCGGGCACAGCGCCATCTGGTGACGTTACTCGACATCGCAGCGTGGATTACCGCAGAGTTGCGTGTACAAGACAGGGAACTGTGTGCAATCTGGTGAGGTTTCCGAACATCGCGGCATGAGTTTACACCGGTGTGACGTTTGTTTCAAGGTTTCCTCGGCAGAAGTCGCGACATAAGAAGCACGAAGGAAGAGGGGGGAAATACGGGCGTCATAATCTCTGCATGCGCCGAAGTCAGAGTCTTTGGCGATTGGGAGTGCATTAGAGTGACAATTAAGCTAGCATTATATTGCAAACGGAAGGTTTCTGATATACGGTGCTGCGTGTGTTGTGTGTGCTTACCTCGTTCTCCAATTAGCGTATGCTGTGCCTGCTGGCATTATTTATGGCCTACCATGCAGGGTCGTTCCATTAGCAATGTAGGATCATTGATTGGTTGGCTCCGGATTTCCCCATTGCTCATGAACAGACAAGAGTTAAATTTGTGGTGCCATTGATGGATTACCAGGTGATATTGCCAGATTGGTGAGATTGTCAGTAATAGGTGAGAGTCCAATGTGTGCTAGGTACAAGTGTAGACAAGAGCACAGTTAAATTTCTGGTGCCATTGCCGGATTACTAGATTGGTGATATTGCCAGACGGGCGAGATTGCCAGATGGGTGAGATTGTCAGTTAGGTGAGAGTGCCAGGTGAACTAGCTACAGGTGTCAAACATTCATTCATCTGTGAATCGACTCGCATGTTTGACGATCGCTAACCTCTGTCAGCATTATTACCTCAATATATTGTTGTCCCGTAAAGACCTACAGTCTTGGTCATGCCCAGACAGCTCACGACCATATGATAGACATAATGCAGACTATCTCACAATCGACATCACATGTCACATGTAAGTGGTCACATGTCACAGTAGTTACATCTGGTGGTGACTCACATCTGGTGGTGACTCACAGTGGTCACATCGACATCATATGTTCATGTGATGTCACACGGTGTTTCAGGAAGTGCCGTTATATTGTCATTCCTATTTGCATTTTTTCTACTACTAAATAAATGACGTATATTCCTGGAGTAATTAACAGGTAGCGCTAGTCAATCAGCATTGCGATCGGGGAATTCTAAAAACGCTAAGAGAAAGCCACAGAGTTGGCATTTTGACATGCACTTGTGATAAATATGTAAACTGGTCCAGCTTGATGGACTAGTGACCAGCCTTGAAGGGTGAGTGGTTATCTCCTGATACGAGTCGGATATGTCAATTTTACATTGATCTCATAATGTAATGTTATTGTTATGGTGTGTTTGTGTAAATGACTGGCCACATTCCAATGATGGCTATATATTTCCCAAGCTGACTATCAACGGTAGTCATGTTTGACTTGCATTATGTCAAGGACGCACCGAACTCGTATATACAACGTAGAGAGGTCAGCACACTTCTATATTTATTCCGCATAGGAGATCACTGATTACATGCCTGCTAAGCTGAGTGATTCGTGGTCTTTTCACTGCGTGTAAAGATAGGTATAGTATTCGTCAGGGTACCTTACTAAATGGTCAATAAAGAAATGATTGTATGTAGTTCATTTACTATCCAAAAGGTGGCACTAGTGAGCAGTGATTAGTTCATAAGTAACCTGTTAGTTTTATTCTGAACAGACGTCGTATTAATTAGATGTTAAAATCTTCAGGAACTACAGCCACCAGTACTTTATTAATATTAGTCAAGGTTGAGATTATGTAAATAAACAAATGATGCATATTTCGTTAGTCAAGCATGTGATCGACAATGTAAATACGCGCTTCTGGTAGGCACGCATATATGTGTTTCGCATTATTTCAAACTGGAATATCTTGCATTCCTTAACTTGTCAGAAATTCATGCAGGATGTGGCCTTGAAGAAGTGTAGTGTACACTAGAACCAGTAAAGGTTCTAAACTGCTAGTAATATTTTAAAAGAGTATACTTCCATTTGATAACGTGTTTCAAGTATTTCATTTCCTCATTTACACTGAAATGTAATTAATATAAATATAACCGTATGTTTATTAACTATTTATTATTTCTCATGGAGGAGTATGTGACAGGGGTATGTATAGTCTCTGAGAATAAATTAACACGGTTTTGACGCCAATTTTTCACCGATGGTGTAACGTTAAACACACACATACGCCTTTAATTCTTCTTGAGCACATAGCTGTTAGAGAGAGAGGTGGGGGGAGAAAGCAAGAAAGAGAGGGGCGAGAGAGAAGAAGAGTGAGGTAGCGAGATTGGACGAGAGGGAGAAAGTGACAGAGGGGGGGGGGGGCGGAATCTGTGACTATATAACGCTACTGGACATTGTTATGTACAACGCATTTAATAAATTGATAATGGCTGTGTGACTAACTCATTGTGTTTCGAGTTATATGTTACGTAATAATAGTCAAAGATGGTTTATAAATGCTAGCACGCCGATAGCGGTGTGATTGATTTTTAGAGTGCTCAAAGTTAGAATCTCTAACATAGAATAAAATGGCATAGTATGACGTAGTTAAATTTGAAAACAACAGAATGGCGACGATTAACATTTAGTTTGACTAGGCTTGTAAATGCCAAGAAATTCTCCTGGAAGTATAGGATTTTATCTAGAGAATTGGTGAGAGGAAGGTGTGCACTCACTGAACTGGAGCTTTCGGATATTTTCCCCAATATTTTCTCGCACTGTGAGGAAATACTTGTATTGTAAACAAAAACTAAGCAATGTGCTTAAAGTAATACACATACCCGCCGAATATTGGTGGTGATGTATTAGAGTATAGGCGTTCGTGCAGGCAAGCGGGAGTTCGTGCAGGCAAGCGGGCGGTCGTGCAGGCAAGCCGGGAGTTCGTGCAGGCAAGCGGGCTTTCGTGCAGGCAAGCGGGCTTTCGTGCAGGCAAGCGGGCGTTCGTACAGGCAAGCGGGCGTTCGTAAAGGCAAGCGGGCGTTCGTGCAGGCAAGCAGGCGTTCGTACAGGCAAGCGGGCGTTTGTGCAAGCAAGCGGGCGTTCGTACAGGCAAGCGGGCGTTCGTACAGGCAAGCAGGCGTTCGTACAGGCAAGCGGGCGTTCTTGCAGGCAACCGGGCGTTCGTACAGGCAAGCGGGCGTTCGTACAGGCAAGCGGGTGGTCGTACAGGCAAGCGGGCGGTCGTGCAGGCGGGCGGTGCGCGTACGAGGGCGTGTTAGCGTGCGTTGGTGTGTGTTGGAGTGGGCTACACCTTTATGGCGGCTCAGAACATATGAATCGATAAATTTCGTGACGTCTCGGCGGAGATCGAAGCGGCACGGTCGCCGGTTAAAGAAAAGTCATCAGGGAAATGTACCTTACCTCACTACCTGCATAACCAAGTCTTTAGTATTTCCCCTAGAAACACGGCGCCTGAATGTTATATGAAGACCATCTCCGTGTCTTTGCCTTTTTATCTTGGTGTAATATAATTTATAATGTATAATTAATTGTTAATACATAATTATTATACAATTAGAGATATCTTTAATAATAATAATTTATTATGGTGCTACGTGATTTTCACATGCTCCGCGCTCTGGGTGCATGGCAGTGTGCAAAGCTATAGTAGTGCGTGAGGCTATAGTATTGGGAATCTATATGCAGTGCATGGGGCTATGGCAGTGCATGGGGCTATAACAGTGTATGAAGCTATGGCAAGCGGGCGTTCGTAAAGGCAAGCGGGCGTTCGTGCAGGCAAGCAGGCGTTCGTACAGGCAAGCGGGCGTTTGTGCAAGCAAGCGGGCGTTCGTAAAGGCAAGCGGGCGTTCGTGCAGACAAGCGGGCTTTCGTGCAGGCAAGCGGGCGTTCGTGCAGGCAAGCGGGCGGTCGTGCAGGCAAGCGGGCGTTCGTAAAGGCAAGCGGGCGTTCGTGCAGGCAAGCGGGCGTTCGTGCAGGCAAGCGGGCGTTCGTGCAGGCAAGCGGGCGTTCGTAAAGGCAAGCGGGCGTTCGTACAGGCAAGCGGGCGTTCTTGCAGGCAACCGGGCGTTCGTACAGGCAAGCGGGCGTTTTTGCAGGCAAGCGGGCGTTCTTGCAGGCAACCGGGCGTTCGTACAGGCAAGCGGGCGGTCGTGCAGGCAAGCGGGCGTTCGTACAGGGAAGCGGGCTTTCGTACAGGCAAGCGGGCGTTCGTACAGGCAAGCGGGCGTTCGTACAGGCAAGCGGGCGGTCGTGCAGGCAAGCGGGCGTTCGTACAGGCAAGCGGGCGTTCTTGCAGGCAAGCGGGCGTTCGTACAGGCAAGCAGGCGTTCGTACAGGCAAGCGGGCGTTCGTGCAGGCAAGCAGGCGTTCGTACAGGCAAGCGGGCGTTTGTGCAAGCAAGCGGGCGTTCGTAAAGGCAAGCAGGCGTTCGTACAGGCAAGCGGGCGTTCGTACAGGCAAGCAGGCGTTCGTACAGGCAAGCGGGCGTTCTTGCAGGCAACCGGGCGTTCGTACAGGC